TCGGAAGAGGGGGCTATGAGGGGTCTGGGTTGGCATCCCTCCCCACCCCAGATCCCTCATAGCCCCCCCTTCCGATAGTCCGGCAAATCTGATAATCCAGCACCCCCTGGGTCCTAAAGGTGCCGGATTATTGGAAGTTTACTGTACATACAAAGATGGGAGTTATATATAAAATGTACATATAAACTATGCAGAAGACCAGCATTAACGAGGCCAATTCAATTAGGGTGGATCTGGCTCACTCCCAAGAGTTGATAAAGTGAGAATATGAAAAGGGGGGAAAATGCTAGTTATTCCTAGTCTGTATTCAGACCCAGTTTGACCGTGTCCAGCTCTGTAGTTTCATGCTGAAGGTCTGTTTTTGAAGGTTTCTTTGCTCAAGTATGGCAACTTTCAGGTCTGTACTGAGCATCCATGGAGGTTGAAGTGCTCTTCCATTGTTTTTTTAATGTTACTGTCCCTGATGTCTGATTTGTGTCCATTTATTTTTTTGCATAGAGACAGTCTGATTTGGCTAATGTACAGAGAAGCACTGCTGACACGTGATTGGCATATATCACATCAGTAGACATACAGGTAAATAACACCCTGATGGTATGGCTGATGTGGTTAGGGCCTATGATAGTGTCATTAAGGTAAATATGTGGACAGAGTTGGCAACTGGGTTTGTTGCAGGGTTAATGTTTCTGTTGTGTGGTGGTATTTGTTTCAAATTAGAGGCATGACTCCTAAGGTCGGAGGGTATGTCTACACTACCACCCTAGTTCGAACTAGGATGGTAATGTAGTCAACCAGAGTTGCAAATGAAGCCCGGGATTTGAATTTCCCGGGCTTCATTTGCATGTTGCCGGGCGCCGCCATTTTTAAATGTCCGCTAGTTCAGACTTCGTCCCCCGCGGCTACACGCGGCACGAACTAGGTAGTTCGGACTAGGCTTCCTATTCCGAACTACCATTACTCCTCGTTCCACAAGGGGTAACGCTATGGGTATGTCTACACTTGCAGCCTATTTCGGAATAGGGCTGTAAATGTAGGCATTTGGAATTACAAATCAAGCCCGGGATTTAATGAGGTTTAACAGGTAGTTCAAACCAGGGCTTTATTTCCAATGCCCATTTCACTGCTGCATGCGGACGCGGGCAGTTAGTCCGGGCTTTTGAATTTCAAAAATGGCACCCGGCCGGGAAGATGCAAATCAAGTGCAGGATATTTAAATCCCGGGCTTGATTTGCAATTTCAAATGCC